GCTTATTTTCTAGCAGGGGAAAGAATTAAGGCTAATAACATGAAACAGTTTTCATTTCAGCTGTGATTGGTCCCTGACTTTCTTTGGAATATGCAGATTGCTCATCTGCATCACCAAATTAGGCAAATTGTTTTGGATCACTTGTATGTGAATTTTTCCAATTCACTTTCCATTTCCAATTTGATATGAAAAACATTGGATAGTTTGGAAATATGGAAAACCTATTGGAAAGTGTCCAAGAGAGGGATGTGGAGGGGATCTTGGAGGGGAAGCCATGCCAGGAGCAGGGCTCAAGTGGCTTGGTCAGTTCAGCCTGGAGAGGAGGAGACTGAGGACAGACCTCACTGCAGGCACAGCTTCCTCCTGAGGGGAAGAGGAGGGGCAGGCACTGATCTCTGCTCTGTGACAGTGACAGGAGCCAAGGGAGTGGCCTGGAGTTGTGTCACACAGGTTTGGGTTGGATGTCAGGAAAAGGCTCTTCCCCCAGAGGGTGTTTGGGCAGTGGAACAGCTCCCCAGGGCAGTGGTCACAGCCCCAGGGCTGACAGAGCTCAAGGAGCATTTGGGCACAGGGTGTGATTTGGGGTGCTGAGCTTGGAGTTGGACTTGATGATTCTTGTGGGTCCCTTCCAACTCAGAATATCCTATGATTCTAATTTATTTTTTTTAATAACTGCCGGCTGGGTGTTGTTCCCCTTTCAGGGTAGCTGCCTGCTCAGGTACCCCCAGGGTGGATCCCAAGCTGTGGGATCTGTGGGGAGCTGTGTAATGGGGCCCTCCTCCATCCACCCTTGGAGCTCAGTGGGGATAAGTGGAAACTGAAGCAGACTTGGCAATAGAGAAATTGAAGTTCCTAAGTATGATGAAATCCCCAGCTGCAGTGGTATATATTTGCAAAATCTATTTCCACAGAAACTCTCAGGAGAAGTGAGTTTCTGTGGATGAATGATTAGAGTGATTAAGGCTTTTAAACTTTGTATTGTTTTTGGTCATCAGGACATAGCTCTGTATAATTTTAAAATTGTTTAGTCACTTTTCCTGCACACAGATATTTATACAGCAGACTTAGAAACCAGTAAGAGCCCTAAGTTTTATTTAAATTATTTGCCTGGGTTTTTTGTCCAAAACAAGTGTTAGCTGTGACAACATACCAATGAATTAAACCTGTTAAAAGTTACTGCATTCCTTACACTATTAAGGCCCTCTAGGATTAGTCTGGCTGTTGTCTTGAGTGTTCATTAAATACATTTCTTATGCTGTTTGTTTCTGAAGGTAATTGAGGGGTTTCAAGTTAACTCTTTCATATTTTGAAAAGACATTCAGTTTCTTTTCAAAAATTTTATCTGGACTAAAGCATCTCATGCCATTATATATACATATTGACACCATGCAATTGAAATTAATGTCTGAATTCAGAGGGGAACCTATCTTTTTAGATTAAACATTCCAAGATCTTCCCAGACTTACTCCCAGGAATGCTGTGCCTTTGTTCTAGCAGCCTCCCTGATTTAAGGGACAATTTATTGCAAGAGGAGTTTGTGTGAATCCAGATTGCACCATAAAGCTTTGGCTTCTCTTTTATGGTGTATTTTAGGAATCCACCTAACTGAAATGGTGGCTCTTTGCATTAAAATTTATGCTAACTATAATTCTAGCTCAAATCTTACCTGTATTCATGGGAACACGTAGTCTCTTGACAGCAATAACCTTGCTAAGCTTGTCTGGAGCATAATGTTATTTTTTTTCCTAGGGATTTTTTCCCCCCCTAGGGAAATCTACATGCATGTGCAAATGGGGTTAGAAATGCCATTAATGTCCTACCAGTTAGTTCAAATAATGAAATGGATCATTATGGCTCTACATGAAGGCAGTGTGTGTGCACCAGAGGGATAACAAGGGTGAAGAGAGCACACAGTGAGCAGAATCCTGGTCTTTGCGTGGCCTGGAGTGAGGGGGAAGGTCAGCTTGTTTTCTAACAGAAGAGGAGCCAGATTGCAGCACTTTGGCTACAGTTAAAGACCTTGGGTTTTCCAAATAGTTTTACTTTACTCAGTCATTACAAAACTCTCATCCTGATTCTGAAACTATTTCTCAGTTTCATGTTTCTGTTAATCATAGAAAGGTTTCTGTTTTCCCAGGTTACCTTTTGGAAGACAACTTTAAGGGAAACCAGTTTCTTTCCCCCAAAGTGCTAATGTTTAATTGATAAGAGTCAGGATGCCTCATGATAGTAAAATGTTTGCTCAAGATTTGATAAAGATTTACAAGGTCAAGCCATTGAATGTTGAATAAACGACACTGTTAGAACTCGTTGTGACTGAGATAGTCTTTCAGGCTACAGAATTCACATCTTGAACAGTTTACATTGGCATGAAAATATATTTAATCCTCTTGCTTTCTTATTTAATTTGGATGTTTCATTGCGTTGGTTGGGAGTTTTTATGGTGGGTTTTGGTTGTTTGGGGTTTTTTGTTAATATGCTGCCAGTTTTATTTTCTTACTACTTGTTTCTCTTACAAATCTTGTTCTTTGGTTCCTACTGCATTTTAGCAATGTTGTAAAATCTTTCCTTTACCAGTGCAGAACTACATTTTACAGTTTTAACTTTAATGGTACAAGCATCCTGTAATTTACAGATGATAATGAACTGGAGAAGGTTCTACTCTTGTCTGCTGCTGACAGTACAACTTCTATACTTGCAGATGCTTTTCAGCCATTTCCTTTCTTCCAAATTCCTGGTTTAAAACCTGTTTTGAAAAAAAAAAAAAAAAAAAAAAAAAAAAGAAAAAAGCTTGTAATGTTTTTATTTTTTAACAGCACTGCCACTTGCATTTATTAATTGTTGTCTGATCTTACTTAACATTTATTATCGCAAGGAATCTGTTATGATGTGATTCAGCAAACATCAGTCAACCTTTGGTAAGTTTTCCAAAGCACTTGGATTTGTTGAGGGCTGAAATTGGCACTTACCTAGACATTGTAGGTCAGCTGTTGTTCTTGTTCCCATGGATGAAATATCTACAATGAAGTTGTTTTGGACTTAGAAGGGCAGAAATGAGGACTGAGTTAGGCTGCAAATTCCAAATGGATGAGTAGGCTGTGAAATTAGCTATGACATCTACACCTTTTTGAAAATGTCACAGTTTCTAAAGTGAATGCTTCCTCCAAGCCTCAGATCTCAGAGTTCAATGAAAGGCACAGCAACCTTATTCCCACTGGGGCAGAAGGAGCCAGGGAACTCTTTGGGAACAGTTTTCCTGGCAGTTGTGCCCTCCGTGTTAAAGTTGCTCACATGGCGCTCAGGCTGCACTTTCTTCTTCCACAACAAATCCCCAAAAATAGAACAGGCACTGAAAGCCTGACACTTGCTGCAGCTTTATAATCCAAGCTGGCCTAAGGCTGAGGTGGGGGAAGTCTCAACGAAGATCAAGGACTCAGCAAAGACTTCTTTTGTTTGTCTTTCCCCTCCCATGTGCTCTGCTCAGAGGCAGGGTTCCTGGCTGCTCCTCTCCTGTTTCCAGAGCAGTTACATAATTACTGCACAATTTCAAAGACAGGTTAGCGAAAGCCATTAAGGGTGTTTTCCATCTCTGGACTGTAGAAACTTAAGGTGGTTTGTCAACCTAAAGAAGAAAACTTCCCTTGGAGGAAAATAATTATCTTCTGCAAATGCAGCTTTAATTCACTGTTGACATATTCAAATTTGCAATTCATCTTTTTAATCTGTTTTACTTCAACTCTGTTGACTAGGGTACATGTCCTCTAAGATTATTTTCCTTAGTGGTGGATATATAAAATAATATTTAAGAAAAAACATTTCTGCAACTTGAAGCAATGGCATTTCCTATGAAACTTTAACCTGATGTTTAGGATGCCATCTTATTGCATATGAAGTCTGTACCACTTGGATTATTGGTCAAATTCTGTGACTTCCTTTAATGACCATATGGGGAGGTGAGAGAGGAGAAAACAGCAATAAGTGGAAGAGGAAATTTAAGTGTCAGTTTACACAAGTATTAACTGCATAGGGATACTTTGTGTGTTAAAAATAAATTGCAAGCCTGTGTAGAGATATTTAAAACAAACTTTCTCCAGTGTTTCAACTGTTTATGCAATGTGCAGGTAAGTATCATCGAGTAAGGAAGGTTCTATTTTTTTTTTTTTTTTTGGTCAAATGAACACTTTTCTTTGCCTCAAAGACTCTCAAATCATTTTAATATCCTTGCAGATGCTCTGCCTCATTTGAGGGACTTTCCATTACCTAAGAGTAATCCCCATGAGTCAGTGAGGGAATAACCTTTCTCTGGGGCAGGCTCATCCCTCAGAGAAGAATCTGAAAAGCTCACTGCAAGCCCTGCCGTAACCCTCCGAAATCCCACCCTGTTGCTGAACCTTGGCCTTTGGTCTCATGTCACTCTCTGACTTGTGCAATCCCACAGTTCAAGGCAGGACTGCTTCCTTTCAGGAAGCACCCTGAGTTCCTGCTGAAAGTGGTCAGTATTTGTCTTTAATACATGAGTTAGCTTGGGGAAGACACCAAACCAAGCAGCTATAACAACAAAAGGCTTCTCCAAAGCCTTGTGAATCCAAGGACAAGGCTTTACTCTCTACATTAGATGTGGTAAGTGGGCTAATTGCTAACCAAAAAGCAAAAGGTTTTGAGGTTCAGGTGTTATAAAGGGGCAGGAGGATCAAAGCAACCTTAGCTAGAAACTGTCCAAATGAGTTTAGACTGGACGTGAACGTGCTACAAAATTTCTAAAGCAGACCTGTCTGTGCCTATTAGAGTGAGCCACTTGCAAGTTCTCCAGTGACATTGTCTGAATGCCATCTAAATCAGTCACTTGGGGCTCTATTTATGTGTGAGAGAGCCCTGGGCTTTTTAAGACTGAAGTCACTGGGCTGGTGGTTCAGCCTCTCTCTCCTGCTCTTGCTGTCATGGGGTGTTTTTAGCCAGGAGAAAAGGAGGCTCAGGGAAGCCTCATTGCTATGTTTTTAGCCTGGAGAAAAGGAGGCTCGGGGAAGCCTCATTGCTCTGAACTTCCTGAAAGGATGATGTAGCCAGGTGGGGAGCAGCCTCTTCTCCCAGGCAACCAGCAATAGGATGAGAGAACGTAAACTCAAGCTGTGCCAGGGCAGATCCAGGTTTGGTATCAGGAGGAATTTCTACACTGAAAGGATGGTTAAGCATTGGAACCCTGTGCTGACCAGGGATGTTAGAGCTGCCATCCGTGGAAGTGCTCAAAAAATGACTGGATGTGGCACTTAGTGCTGTGGTTTAGCTGACATGGCGGTGTTTGGTCAAAGCTTGGACTCGGTTCTTTAAGTCCTTTCCAGCCTTAATGATTTCATGATTCCAAGGTGGGATTGCATGGAGTGAAACAGACTGGTAGGAATCTGCCATTTGCTGTCTTGCTTAGATGTGTGATGCACAGACCTTTTCATCCACTGTTCCTGAGCCCAGGAATTCTGTGGGTTAAAGGAAACCACTGCACAATAGATGCACTTGGCAGAAGAGGAGGGTTCTCCTTGTGTATGTCTTTTTTCCTGTTGTACTGGGAAGTGTTACAAGCACCCCGTGTGAAATATGGATAACACCAACTGTCCAAGGCTCAAGTGCTGTAAAGAAACTCTTTCTGCCTTGTTCAAATGTTGAATTAATGTTTCTGAATATTGACAGCAGTTGTGAAGAGCTGTTCATGCTAATGACCACGGTGCTTCCTCATGACTCTGGCTGCTTCTAGCAGGATACATCTGATGCCTGATTTGTGCTCAGCAGCAGGTGCTCTGTAAAATTATAATGCCATGGCTGTGTTGGGTAAGGAGTGTTATTTCTGACAAGTTTCTGGAGTCTTCCTCAAATAGGGAAAAAGCCACAGACAGTGGCAATCAAAAGTAAATGCTTATGCTCTCAGAATGGTAGAGGAACTCTGTAGGGCCTTGTGCATGACCTGCTGTGTAGATATGTGGCATTAGAAGTGTCACATGAGAATAAGGAACCTTCCTTGTCCTGTTTTCGGGTCAGGGACGTAACACATTTACCTACTGAACATTTGGTTTTCTGATTTTCTAGTTGTTCCATTATTTGTTGTAATGACTATTGGACAAGCTGGAATACTTCGTTGTGAAGTAGATTGCAAGGGTTTTGATGATAGATCTTGTTACATAAGGCAGTTGATGGAGGCTGTATGTCAGAGTTGAAAGCCCCTCTAGGTTCAGCTATTACCCTGAGGTTTGGAGCCATCCCAAATGCTGACCCTGCACGACTCTGCCTCTGGATCATCACAGGAGCACAGAATTGGCACTTGGGCTGCAAACCTACTGTAATACAGCATTCCAAGCCGTTCTTCTGGCTACCTTTGCTGTAAGCTCTTCAAGTAGCACAGCCCAAAATCTAAAGAAAGTTTTACATAGGTACAGTTAAACATTTATGTCTGGTTTACAGTAAAGTTACAGAGGAGTTCCCAAGTTGTTTCAGTGAAGACTTTTTTTTGTGTTTGTACTTTTTTGGTAAGGAAGCTCCAATAACCAGTAAACAGACAGTGGTTTCCAGTTCTCTTCACAGTCACTGGGGAGATGATTCACATAAACTTGGAGCGAGTATCACATTGCAGTGGAGGACACACTGGATATGTTTACATTGTAGTTGTCAGATCAAGCACGTTTTCAGCTAATTTACTGGTTGTAAGTTGTCCAAGCTCTTTGCAAATGCAGTGAGTTTCCCAGACCTCGAGACAGAGAGTCCAGCACAGCACAATGTGTATGCTGCAGAATAAAAGGATTGACAGCTCAGAAGCAGAGCAAGCATTAACAAGGGCAGGACAGGAAGAAGCAGGAAACCACGGTGTGAAAGCCAGGATTTCTGAGTGGCAGAACAATGCCCCACACCTGCCCAGCACAGGCTGTTTCCTGCATTGTCACATGTGAGCCACTGCAGAGGCTCAAGGAACACGTCTGCACAGCCCCTCCTTGCCTGTTCTTTGCAAACCATGGTAAGTAAAAGAGCTGAGCCTGAAAGCTGCAGCCCCTTGGTGAGCTTGCTTCTCTTCTTGAGAGCTTAGATGGCAAAAGCGTTGTGCCAATAGCAGGAGATAAGCTTTTCTTGATTAATGCTTTTCTTTGGAAGCAGAAACCCACTTACAAACTATTTTTTTGGGGAACTGGTTATGATTGAGTGCTATTGAGTGGGCCTGGGTGTGGATGCAAATCTTGTCTGTCATTGCTGAGTAACTCTGCATGTGTCTGCACTAAATGCAGACTAAGGGTGTTTACAGTGGACAAATCTATATTTAGACAAGCCCTGGGTGTCTGCTTGACATAAGCTTAAAATAACCTTCTCCCATTGTGGGATCTTGCTTTCCCTTTGGTCTCTGCACTCACCAAGTTTGCCTTGGCAGTCAAAATTAAAGGATGTGGGGTTTTTTTGGGGCTCTTTACAGATATTTGGAGTGATTAATTGTGAACTATTTCAGCACGTGCTGTATTGCCAACAGATCAATGCATGAGCATAACCAGAAAAATGGAGTGTAATTTGGGATGCTGGTCTCAGCCTGTGAGGACCCAACAGTAGGCTAAGGGCAGCATTAGAAATAATGCTACATCTGAAGTAGCAGGACTGCATTATACAGAAAAAAAAAAAAAAAGACAGCATTTACATTGAAAGAGATAGCAATGAAATAAGTTTAGGTTTCTGGCTGTTTCATACTGCTGCTGTTATCTTTTCCATTTGATTGACAGAAAATAAATCCCTTCCTTAATATTTTAGTATGGTTGAATAAGAGAGGGGAGAGCTAACTCAGGTCTATTAAATGAACTTAGTACTCAAGCAAGATGAACAGAGCATGTCTGTACTCTGCAGAGTCTCACAGGAATGCATTGTGCTGCTTCCTGCCCTGGTAAATGTGTGCCATTAAACTTCAGTACCCTCTGTTGGCAAGAAATAGATGAATTTTCTGCAGGGAATAAGCAAACGCTGCTTCTGAGGAGCCATCTCGAGGACTGATGCTCTACCTGGTGACCACCTCAACAGAGATACTTGCCTTTGACTTGTTGAGGTTGCAAACATGGGCCAAACAGATGACTTCAGCTCCAGAGCAAAAAGATGTCAAAGTATTTTTTGTATGGTCTTTACAAAGACCAAAAGCTGTCCATGGGGGGAGAACTGAGGATTTCTGGAGCATCTGACTGTCACAGCAGGGAATGGTTTGAGTCCCACTGGAGCAGCAGCAGCGTGTGATGTTGGTAACAGCCCCCTCCTTGTTATGTGCCAGCAGGGAGAGCCTGGAGATAATGCTGGGTAAAACAAACACGTTGTTATTTCCCTCTAGGATGCTCTTTAATGCCTTTCAGCCACCTCACCGGACCCTCTGCCACAGCTCTGATTACTGCAGCCTTCACTGCAGTTTGGGACATTTGGGATTTGCCTTGTTCCTGATCACAATGCTTTTCAACAGTACTAAGGACCAGTTCTCTATTTTCTGTGCATCCACTGCTGAAAGTCAAAATATGTTTAACCATTTTGGATGGTATTCTTCCATAGAGGTGGTTATTCTAGCCCATTAAAGCATGAAGCTAATACAAAATAGAACTCAGAAAAGATTTGATATTCCAGATTAAGAACAAAAAAGCAGAGATAGCATAAATAAGTCTGCCTCCCTCTAGTTAAACAAGCACTTTATGTGTCCTAAATACAGTACCTCAGAAAGCTATTGTATTTAGGGCGCATAAACTGCTTGTGTGATGGGGGGAAAGGAAAAGTTACTGAGTTGTTTTCTGAAAAAGTGATTTATTTATGTATTGTGATTTCTTTAATATGCTGGTGTTTTCACAGTCATCTGGTTCTCTAATGTAACCATACATATTCATATATACAGGATTTGCTGCTATAAGAGACAGTTCTGACTCTTGCCTTTCTCTGTAATGAATCTTCTGATCTCTAAAGAAGATGGAATCTTTTTCCTGCAACAGTGAGTGCTTTCTTGAACTCTCCCAGTATGATAATGCACCATCCTAAATGGGGATTAGCTTTACTGTGAGGGGCATGTTAACAGGATCAGGAAAGGGAAGTTGGGGTTGAACAACATAAAATTTGTATCTCAGTAAAAAATAGCATTTGTGGTTTGTGCTGGCATTGATCTTTGTGAATTTATGGCAAACCTGAAGGTCATGAGGGACCTATGCCATAATAAAAATATCCTGCTAGATATTTCCTGGAAGAAAATAGAACTGATAAATCCCTTTGGTTAGAGATACAGGGCTAATTTTATTTCTATTTTACTCTCTTAGCAGATGTGATTCATGCTGTCAGCACTTACTTGTCATTACATTGTGTACTTTTGTATTTTAGTTGAAGTGTATGTGATTTTTAAAATAGCTTTAAAATAATGTGATTTTCCCTAATGTTCCAAATATAGAAAACTTCATTATTTGCCAAACCCAAATAGTTCCTTTATCAATTTAGGGAACGCAAATATATGCGGCATATTCAGAAGATTATGTTGTGTAAAAATTATTGCAGTTCTCTAGTTTGTTACAATGAACTTTTACTAAGAAACTGTACCTCAAACATCTTCAGAAAACACTCCTTGCAGCTGCATTGGTTGACTGTGTTGTGTAACAAGAGCATTGAAGTGATAAGCAAGTTAAAATTCTTTGATTACATAGCTTTTCCCTCTTTTGGTAATACCCTCATGAGGACATACAGGTGACATCCTCATTTACTACATGGGCAGTGTAAGAACCTAAAAAACCTTCACCCATTCAGTCATATAAAAGTAAAGAAACAAAAAAGAAGAAAGACTACAGTTTTTTAAAGCTAGATGGCTGCTGCTTTTATTTTGTTAAAAATCTTTGCAGGTTTATTTTGCACATATGTAGACTTGTAGACTAACATAGGAAACTGATTTACAAAGCAGCATTTGGATCCTAGGATGGCTTGGATTGGAAAGAACCTTGTAGATCATCTAGTTCCAGCTCCCCTGCTGTGGGCAGGGACACCTTCCCCCCCACCAGCTTTTTCAGGGCTCCATCCAGACTGACCTTGAACACTTCCAGGGATGAGGCATCCACAACTTCCCAGGGCAACCTGTGCCAGGGCCTCACCACCCTCACTGTAAAAACTTTTTTCCTATTATCTATTATACACCTCCCCTCTTTCAGTTTTAAGCCATTCCCCCTTGTCTTGTCACCACATGCTGCTGTACAAAGTTCCTCTCCATCTCTCTAGTGTGCAGCTGACCGGTTTGTCAGACTGGGGACACAGTTCATCTGAGCACACACTCCAGGCCTTGCCCCTGTTAGGGGAGCTCTGCAGGGGATGGTGGTGTGGAAACCTTGGATTTAGTGTTATCAGTGACAGCCAGACTGTGGGAGGGACTATTCTGCCACTACATCTGCGTCTTCCCAGACAAAGTAGGAAATATTCCCTGTCAGCGCAGCTGTGATGGCACCAGGGAGTTTTGTGGTACTTTGTTGGCATCTCCTCGGAAATCTGTGTTCTTTGCAGCTGAAACAGTCTTGTTCCCTTTCACACAAATCTGAGAGAAGGTGTAGTGACCCTGTTTAAAGTGGTCAAATAGCACTTGACAAGCCTCATGCTTCTCGCCTCTCACATGAAGGGTTAATTTATAACCTCAGAAGCGTTGTCTTCTGTGGCTGCCGAAGACAAATGAGTGTCCTTTAGACTCTGTGAGTGCATCAATATTTAATATGTCTGCTTAAATTAAACTCCAGTCAAACTACTGATTATTCTCCTCACCTTGTTCCTCCTTCAATCATTAATGGACATCTTCCACAAGCAAGTTAACAAAACACCTAAAATGGACTTTGCACATGTTAGCCTTACCCTTTCACTCCAGACTCTCTCCTCCTACGCTGATTGCGTAAGGACTGACTGCAAAGATACAAAAGGATACTCCCCAGCCTGGACCACAGTTTAAAGGACAATAGTTGATCAAATATTTGGAATTAGGTGATGTTTTGAGATTTTCCTCCACTGCAGAGTCTGGACCTTCTTTAAAATCAAACAAAGAAACAAAGAAACAGAAAAACCCAAACAAAAACTCTCCAAAACGGCTGCCTCTTTACCCAGGGTGATAATCCTTTTGATCAGATTTAGGGTGCTCAGCGCCAGCTGGTCCTTCCTTGCTGGGAAGGGCCCCTTCCAAGATAGCTGTTTGAATACCCTCTAATTTTCCTCTCTGTACCTTCAGGAGCTGCTGCTAGTGCACACTCTGTGAAGTAGAGAAGTGATCATCTGATCATCGATCACCTCTTCACTGGTACAGCTGCGAGTGACCCAGAACAGCACATCCTGCAACCATGGTGTACCAAAAATCAGCTAAAATTTAACTAGGTGCTGCTCTCATCCCTCGTCACGCTACCAAGTACCTTTATCCTTTGGATTCTTAGACCCCATAGGCTAAGGCAAAAAGTGGTTTATAGAAATTATTCAGTGTTTTACTTCATTTTCTATTTTAAATGAGGATTTAAGAAATCTGGTGATGTGTGAGATGAAAATGTGGTTATGAACGGTGCAGCTATGGCACTGTAACGATTCACCAGTCCTTGGAAGGCCATGTAGGAAGGGTTTCTGAAGGGAAGAAATGAGAAGGCTAACCAGTGATGTGAAATCTAAGCCAAATGGCAGTTGCCAAAATACTGTAGGGGCAAGTGAGCAGAAACCTAGAGTTGAACAGAGCTGTGTTGCTTGTTATGAAACCAGGGACAAAGGAGACATGGAGGAGGGACTGTTTCCTCTAACCTTGTTTTTCTGTAGCTTGTTTTCCCAATTCTGTTTCTTGCCAGCAAGGTTGGCCTCTCAAAATTAAGCTATGCACTTGATTGGCATGGTCTTATTAAGAACAGGTTTAATTAAAACAGGGGACTTGTCATCAGGAGGATATCTAGAGAAGTTAGAGTAAAGCAATTAGGGTCAATAGGCATTCACTTAAAGTGCATAGTTATTCTCAAGTGGGGTTTCTCGTTCAGGTCCAAAGCTGCCTGTGATCTGAACTTGGTTGGGTTTACATCTGACTGGGCTGGCTTCCTCTGCATAAGGATCCTGTGTGTGTCGATGTCCTCCTGTCACTGGTGTGCCTTAACTCTTCTGGACATTTCTGTACAGCTAAACCATTGTGAACTTGTGAATACACTCATTTTTCAGATGCTCATAACCAATTTTGCTAGAATGAAGTATTTTATTTTAGCCCACAAGATGGTTTTTTAAGCTTCTGTATCAAGCACTGTAATGGGAACTGGAGCTTTAGATGCACTTGTTTGCAAAAAGGTTTTGTATTAAGTGTAGGAAACAGGACATCTTGGACAGTTAATTCAGAATTGTTGCTTCCCAGCCATCTCTTGTGTGACTATGGAAAGATTTCACTTACCCTTTAAATTTCAGCCTGTGTCCTGAAGCCCAAGAAGCAATCAAAGTAAACAGTGGCTGTTTACTGTCTGGGCAGCTGTCTTCAGTCATTTGTTTCAGCAGCTCCAGCGCACGTGTTCCCAAAATTCTGTGCTTCTCAAAGAAATCTGTGCAAGCACAAGCTAGCCTAGCTTTTCCTAATATCTGTAGCAGTTACCTGGGGATGGAATTTAAGCCTACTCACCTCTTTTACTCGTCTAATGCATATGTAGAACACTTCATTCCTTTTGCTTCACAGTAACCTCTTACAGTTCTTGAAGTTCTATGACGTTTCCCCTCTTCTTTCTCTCTAGGTTAAATGCCATTTATTTCAGTTCTCATCCCTGGAACAGTTTTCTAGAGCTCTTGGACTTCCTGTTCTCTTTTCTTCCCCCTCACCCCCTTAAGTTGGCTGCCCTTTTTGACATGGGATACATGACACAACCCAACGTCAGCTGAGATGTCTTAGAAGTGAGGCTTGAGTTTGTCATTCTTCTCAGTCCTTCCCGTAGCGAGTATTAATTTTGATATTTACCTGAATATTGCGAGGTGTGGATCAAGACACTTTCAAAGACATTTGAAGCTCACAAACCTTTGTAAATATTGCATGAAAGAGTAAGTCTGGACTGCAAGTCTGAAAAGGGGAGTGATGCCATAACTGCAGGAACTGCAGAGACTGTGAACATCTGAGGTTACATCAGAATTTCAGGTCTAGGAATATTTCAGCTCTCAAAATTTCACTCAGCTCTGGGAATGTTTGTATTTCCACCTGCAGTGTGTGGTGAGCTCTAATTACATGAGTACATGAGCTCTAATTGGGTAGAGGTAGCAGCAGAGCTGTCACACCGAACACGCCCGAGGTAGGGGCTGATACTTGCTGAGTGTTCAGTCAGCTTCTGCGACAGCCTTTGCAGTCTGGAGGGTGAATATCGCAGGTGGCTGAACTTGCGTGACTTGACAACTGCCCAGCCGCATGTGTGACAGCGCTGGACGTGCCATGCACACGGATCCGGGCCAGGGCTGTGATGAGCCGGTCTCTGCAGGCACTGGGTGCGCTGATACACGAGTGAGTTCTCTCCCCTGAGCGGGCAGCCCGGGGTCGCAGTGCCGCATGTGCGCTGCCCGCATCGCTGTCTGCAGCGCAAGTTTGCGGCTTTTTGGCGTGGCTGGTGGCGGGAGTCAGCGCCCATCCCGTCCTGCGCCCGTTCCGCCGCCCTGGGCACCCGCGCAGCTTCCGAGGCACGGCGGAGTGCCCGGGGGAGCCCGGCCTGTGGGGGTGGCGGTGAGGGGTCACGGTGCCCCGGGGCAGGGCCGTCGCTGAGAATGGGTCTGGGGACGGGCAGGGGCACCCGGCGGGACATCTCGGGGCTCGGGGGCGGCTCCCGCACGGCTCCGCTGCGGCCGCCCGGTCTGGGACGACCCTCGGGGCCCGACCCGGCTCCGCTGTGCGGCGGGAGCTGCCCCGGGGGCCGGGGCGGGGGGCGGCAGGGTCAGGCCGGGGCCCGGGGCGGCTCTGCGCGGTCCCCGGGGAGCGGCTTCGGGAAAAGGAGCCGGAGCGGATCGTGCCGCCGGCCCGGGGCGAGCGCATCGCTTGCGGTGCCCGTCGCCGACCAGCACCACAGGCTAGCGGTGCTGGCTGTGGGGCCTCCTGGTGTGCCCTGTCGGCATCCGGTGGGCACTGGGCGGTGTGCGACACCCGCACCTGCCGCGGGCACATGGCAGCGCCGTCGGTGTTGGCCCATTGCGGGAGCCCGGCAGCCCCCGGCTGTGCCCATTGAGGGCACCTCGGCGGCTGCCCCGGAGCGGGGCACTGTGGCTCGGCCGTGCGTGGCATCGGGACGGCCAGGGCGACCTTCAGTCCCCTCCTGGTGCGCGTCACTGCGCGGATGAGCGCTTCCCGTCGGAACTGGCCTGCAGCTGGAAGGCGTCAATGTGTAACGCGGGGCTGTGGGCTGGCCCCCGAGGGCGTGGGGAGAGGCGAGGCGAGCAGGGGGCTATAAGAGGCCGTCCATCCCCACGGAGACCCTGGCCAAGGGGCACGGACGGGCGGAGGTGCTGAAGGGAAGCCTCGCAGGTTGCGATGCGTAAGGAGGCGCACGTCGTGCTCTCGTGTTGCGCAGGAGCTCGCTGGTAAAACATGTTGGCTGGTGGTTGCTAGCGGCGCCGGCTCGCATCTGCCTGCATGGATGCGGGCTAGTGACCGACAGGGACCTAAGTCGTGCTTTCGGGGGGGTTTCCATCCGCTCTGGAGCAGTGAGGCTCTGGAAACAGGTAGGACTGGTTCTGCTGAGCTGACAGATTTGTGCAAAGCTGACTGGTTTATGTGCTGCCCCACTGATGCTTCTTAATGTAAGCTAATTTTGCACAATAGAAAAACATTATTATGTTGTTGGTAAGTTTTGTCCTGGTGTTTCGTTTTGTTTTAAATTTCACGCTTCTGTCATCCATGAGAAATAGGAGGAAACATTGATATTGACAACTCTCTTACTTAACTCACAGAAGGGCAGGTAGAGAAATGAGAGAAATAGGCAGACCTGAATATTGAGAACTGTATATATATATATATAAATATATATATATCTATGTCTTCAGTGTCACAGAGGAAGCTACTGTAGTTAGAACACCAGTTTAAGTCTGATGTCGTGGAAGTACAGATGCATCTTCCAGAGCATTTAATCCAATGCTTGTGCTGGTGTGTCAGTACACGTGCAGGTGTTTGGAAATGATCAGTGTGTTTAAAAGCACCTATCATGTGCCAGTCTCATGCTCTAGATGTTACTTGCAAGCTAAGGGTAGCAGAAATTTCAGATGATAATTGCAAGAACTTGCCTGAAAAATAAACAGAAATTTACAAGAAGTCTGATTCAGCTTAAAATGAGGGATGTTACTTTTCTGGCTGGTACCGTCTTGATTTGCAGCAGTGCCTTGCAAAACTTGACGAGCCCGGTGTTAATCACGCAGTGTGTCTGCTGACATCAGCTTTCTTTGCAGCCATGTGCTGCTCGCAGAAAGCAACACACTCACCCGGGCTCTGGCTGCACAAAGAACAAACTGGAAACAATCACATTGCTACTGTCTTTCTCAAGATTCCCTTTGCCACAGATTAATACAAGTTGCTGTGCTGAGGGCTAATGTTTCAGTGGTGCTCATGTTCTTTTTTTGTGTTCATCTGTCATCTTTAAGCCAAATTCTAAGATTTATAGGAAGGGAGTTCAGTGTTGTGATAATGGTGCTCAGAGCAAAGCAAATAGTTGCAGCCAGATACTTCTCTCTTTCCACATTGAAACTGTTGTTCAGTTTGTTCTCTAGGGTTTCTTTTTGTTGTGGTTGGTAAAGGCTTTCATCAAGCAGCTCTCTTCCTCTGATTCTTATTCGCAGTGAGTACAACTCACTGAAAAGCTTTTTCTCACCAAATTTCAAGTTACTATTCAGTTCTTTATGCTTCATGTCTCTTTTTCAGTATTTTAATTTAATTTGGTTTCCTGGAGTCTGAAACAATATCCCTAGGCTTAGTGAACAGTAAGGTTTGTCAAACTGTTCCCACCTGAATCCTGAATCTTAAACAGTTGTTCATCTGTTACCAGGATCACACAAGTCTTCCCGGTTGGTTCTGAGAAAAAAAACCAAAACTATTGACTCCCCTCACTCCCTTCTGTGTGGGCTTCTGCTTCTTCATTTTTGATGTCCACATTTATCTTTACAGTTTGTGTCCTCCTTCTACACAGACAGAAAATAGTGAAAGGCACTTTGGATCCCTCCCAAGTCGATGCACAGCTCTGATGTCCATGCAAATGAAGGTTTAATTCTCCCTGTCAGTTCTTTTCCCTGCTACCAAGCTACCACAGTACAACCTGCTCCTTTTGGAGAAGCATTAAATAATGAGCCAGTAGAAAGTTGACATCCATGGTCCCAGCAGTGGCTTGGTTGTGCAGGACATCTTTAAATATCATAGCGGAGGGCTCTGAGGAACAGGCTCCTCATGCAGGTCTGGAGCTCCCTGCTTTCTGTGGCCTTCAGGGGAGTTAGAAAATACCTTAGTTTAGGTATCAGGCACACAGCAGTGTGAGGTGAAGGAATTACCTGCAAAAACAGGAAGGGAAGGAAAGGGAGGAGAAGGGAAGGGAAAGCCAGGTCATTAGAAACTGACCCTGGGATTTTATAGACCTGTTAAACCCCAGAGGATGATTTCTGTGGGGGAAATGATGGTGGTTTTTGCTTTTTGCTTGACAGTTGTGGACTGTGAATGGCTTGGGACATTCAGAGAATAGAGATGGTTGATACCTAAAGTTTTTTATGTAGCTAAAAGATGCAAAAGAGATCTGTGATGCAAAATAGGAGTTGTCAGCATGTAGAAGGTCAACACTTCTACTGCTGTAAATTTGGTACAGTTGGTTAAATTCAATTATACTCTGCAGCACTGCAGCAGGTGACAAACTAATCCAGAGCTTTAGTCTTTCTATTAGAAGAGACTACGTGACCAAAGATTACAAAAACTTTTTTCCTCTCCTGCCCAGTCCTTGCTTCCTTCCCATGAAATGTTTAGAATAGCAGAACTGAACTCAAGAGTTGTCTTTGTGCTAAATTTTAGGGCACCAATATAATGGAAATCAGCTAACAGCTAAAATGTGTTTGTTTTCAAAAGTTTATTTTTAAACAAATATGAGTTGAGGCTATTCACTGTCTACCTCCATTATTGTAGAGTTTTTCTGAAAACTTCCTTGCTTTGTCTCATTGTCTGCTTTTAAAGCTGTTACTTATTTCCAATATTTTTTTCCTCTAGGCAGGGACAAAAGAAGCCAAGTGAAAATCACTTAATTCATAGAGAGATGGATAGGTCAGCTCTTGGGGACTGCATTCACATAACTCAAATATTTTGTGTGGAAATACAGGCATCCCTTTTTGTGTAAAGGGTGCTGTTATAGGAAAGTGCCTATGACTTCTGGCTGTCCCAGCTGCCCCCCTTGCATCTCTCAGGATCAAGGGACACTCACCAGGCATTGGAGTGAGTTACAGCTTATATTTATAAGCTGAAACAAATAACTTTGTAGCATTTGTAACTGGGATTGTTGTATCTTCAAGGACAGTCAGAATATTAAAATTGTAAATCACTCCCAAAGGACCCAGGATGTCAAAATGTATTTTACATTAGAAGGCGATGTTTTTGTTATTTGAGGGCTCAAGGCTGCTGTCAGATGTTAATTAATTGCAGGAGATGGGTACTTCTCCACTGAGATAACTTGTTTGCTTCTGAAGTTCCTCTGAGAAGATTTTAAAAAGAAGAAATGTCATGTGAAGCCACCATTTTTTCACAGTTGTGTTAACTGTTGCAGTGATATGTTGGCTGAAAACTTGCTTTGTTCTTTTCTGCAGGTGGTTGTCACATGAAGGTACCTTTATAGGAAGCTGACAGATTTTTGCCATCATCTGTGAGTATCTACCCTCAAAGTAATATTTAAGTGCATTTGTAAACTAGAACTGGCCTTTTTCATGTCTCTATGCAATTCCTCAAAATTTTATACTATAGTGGTTTTGTTGAGTTTTCCATGCATATGCTTAAAAATTGCCCAAGAAAAGGGTGTGAGGATCTCAAATGAAAATTCTGTTATTGTCTGCTTGTTTTCCCAATTGCTTTCATACAGCAGTAATTTTTTTCCATTTCCTCTGGGTTCCTAAGTCAGAAAGGCAGTGCAATGCATTTATTTTCCTGCTTTGCCTCTTGGGAGTCTCCCAGAGCAGAGCTGTTACTGCAGCAGTCTTAATGCTTAAGCTGCAGTGTGGAGATGGTCCTTGAGAATATTTCTTGAAGAAAACAGGGTAAGATCTTACCTCTTTCTGTCTTCCAGGGTGAAGGAAATAAAACTATTGAGAATCATATATCTGGTTAGTGGCAGAGCCAGGGGCAGAGTATGTGTTTTGTGCTCATCATGTGTGCAGATTTCTTCCTGTAGAGAGGGAGGGCAGGCTGGCTGTGTGCACAGGGAGACTCCAGAGCAATGTAGCCTGGAAAACCTCTAAATCTGCTCGGTTTTGGAAGTATTGATCCCTACATCACACGCTAGTCTTGAGAAGATTTGAGGGTGGTGGGTTATTTGCAGCCATAGATACACAGGGGATGGATTGAGCCATGCCCAGGAGCAAGGTGGTATTTCTGGAGTCCAGGCAGTGATTGCCAGTTTGGGGAAGGCTGATGTGTGCCAACTGCACAGAGGGCAGACACTCTAACAGGTTATAGCAGATTTTTGTATGCACGTTTGCTGCTGTCGTGTCTTGTCTTATGAGCCATACCTGTACACAGTCTTAGAGCTCACTTCACTGATATATTGAAGTGATTTTTGGATGCTGCTCTCTACACATTGCTTTGTTGATAGAGCAGAGTACTTAACTGTTACTACTGCCAAAATGTCAGTCTTCCTCTTGATCTGCCCCTCTCAGAGTGCACTATCTGGTGGCAAACACCTTTGTGAATGGAAAGATACTGTGCTGAGTTTGGAACTGAGTATAGATTTATTGCTCCTTTTTTGATATTCATGGCTTTAACAGCAGGTGACCATGGGTCCCTTCTGTTGAACCGTGGCAGATATTATTGCCTGAAGTTTTCACAAAGCCTGTTTAGCACTCAGCAAATGAAATGCTTTTCTGTCATGCAGTGCAGGTGTATGCACAACTCATGGTGCTTTAGGTGCTGTCGTTGTTAGCCAGCAGAGGTGCAGCATGCCAGTCCCAGTTCGCTCTGCCTGTGTGCTGTGCTGCGGCTGCTCATGCAGCACGGCTGAACCCAGCTGTGCCATCTCTGCACAGCTCCCTGTGCTCACAGCCCTCGGCCAGGCACTGCTCTAACACTGCTGTCTTTGGGGTTTGTCTGCACAGGTGCTGCCCTGCTTCTGCACCCAGCTGCCAGGATGGTGTTTCGCAAGCCACCAGACGGAGGCTGGGGCTGGGTGATTGTTGTCGTGTCCTTCTTCACCCAGTTCCTGTGCTATGGATCACCGCTGGCGGTGGGAGTCCTGTACCTAGAGTGGCTGGATGCTTTTGGAGAAGGGAAAGGCAAGACTGCTTGGGTTGGATCACTAGCCAATGGAATTGGATTGCTTGCCAGTAAGTGCAGAAGCAGTATCTGTTTTAAATTGAAACGTTTCCAATTGATGCTTTTGTCTGTGTGTGCTTTTGGAATTGAATCAAAGATAGCTGCAAATGAGGGTGCTGCACTTTTGTTTTAGATCAGGATGGGTAAGAAAATTGCATTTATAGTTTCATTTATAGTTACATTTATGCATAAACCAGAGGAATATAATGATAAAAGAGCAAGAAAAATATTCCCTTTAGAAAATTCGAACTGATTGTATTTGAATAAACTAGAAAAGCCACACTCTGGGAAGCTAAACAGCAGTTTTGTTGATGCAATTTTTTCTTTTAAATGGGACTTTAAGACTAACATTTACATTATTGTCTCAAAATCAGAGCAAGCTGTTAGTCCAAAATGGTTCAAGTGCTTTATGGAAAAAAGTCAATAAACTTGTTACCAATTTTTCAGCTCTAGCAGTAATCCTACCAGTGAGGATGGATGAGGGCTCCTTTGCATTCTTTATTTGAGAAAAAGCTCCCTTTGAAGGCTGGAGAGTTATGGGTAACAGTAGCATTAAATAAAGCAACTTTACTGGAAGCTTTTCTCTAGTAAGACATTGTCACTTGGAGAGTAACAGCAGAATTTTAGGAAAATAAAATCGCACCTTGAAAATTCCTAGGTTGTTGTTTTAAGATCAGGCACGGGTGTTTACTGGGTCATATCACTAACTTGTGTCTTTCAAAGATTTACCATGGGAGCTATTATCTATTTGCTGGATCTGGAAAAAAATTTTTGTCAGCAGGGCAGCTGCTACAGGCAAAAACAATAATGTGGTTTAATGGACAAAATGCAGCTCAGGATCCTGAGGAACTCCTCCTCAAAAGAAAGTTGATGTTCCAATAGCAATACAGACCTGAATAAAGAGCACTGCTTTGTGTGGCCCTGGAACTGACCAAATACTGGTGTCACACCTGTGTTAGGGTTTTTTACCACCAGGCAGAAGAGAAATGGGCAAAGGGAGGTGGATCACTAACCACAGTAAGACTATATTCAGTCTCAGGGTATTGTTGGATAAAGGACTGTAGATTGTTCTTCCATCATCCTTTTTTCATTTTCCTGTGTTATGGATATTAACTCCTGCTATTCATCAAGACCTCAATATGCTTGAATGAAAGAGTGAAGTGGGAGGAAAATAATGATAAACAAGGTAATTACTGAAGGAAAAACTAGGCAGAAGAAAATTTCAAGAGAGCACCCTTTTAGGAGACCAGAAGCCTCTGGCTTTAAGAGCCTCAGTCCCCTTTCCCTTATGTCAATATCGTGCTAGTTTCCAGATTTTAATGCCCTTTGTCTTGCTACTGTGAGCAATTCTCAGCAGTGTGCTTTGTAGCTGGCTGGTTTTTGGCTGGGGTAGAGTTCAGTTTCTTCTCAGTGTCTGTGTTTTAGATATGTGCTGAATACAGGGCTGATAATGTAGAGATGTTTTTCTTATTGATAAGCAGGACTTACAGAGCCAAGGTCTTTCCTGCTGCTCCTGCTGCCAGGCTGGTGAGCAAACTGGGGCTGCACAGGAAGTCAGGAGGAGATAACCCAGGACAGGTGACCCCAACTGACCAAAGGGATGTTCCATGCCATGTGACAGACAGCACACTCAGTATATAAACCGGGGGGAGAAGGAGGAAGGGGGGATAGTCTGAGAGATGGCATTTGTCTTCCCGAGTCACCATCACACGTGATGAGGCCCTGCTGTCCTGGAGATGGCTGAACTTGCCCTGCCAAGGGAAGCAGTGAATTAATTCCTTGGTTTGCTTTGCCTGCATGCAAAGTGTGGTTTGCTTTCCCTATTAAATTGCCTTTATGTCAGCTCAGGAGTTTCCCAGCTTTTACCCTTCTGAGTCTCCCCGTTCCTGCTGGTGGGGGAGTGAGATCATGGCTGTGTGGGCTTGGTTGTGGCTGAGGTTAAACCATGACAGCAGCAAATGGAAACTCCTGTGATGAATAATACAAATCAAACGTGTTCTTGTGACTGATTTTGGTATGGAATGATTAAATTAAGGTTTGACAGGTTAAGAGGAGTTCTGTCTGTCCATGTGATTATATTCTTTCAGTTTGGCATTCAGAAGCTTAATAATCATTCCTACCCTTTATGCCTTCAAAAGAAAGTACAGGGAGGGTCTTTTAATTACATTGATGTTATCAGAGTTGACTGAAAACAAAGTCTATGTTCCCAGCTTTACCTAAAATGAAAGATCCCGCTGTTTGTCAAGCTGGGATCTGACCCTAATGACAAATCTACTAAATTTCCTCCCTAAAAGTATGCAACTTTATGATACAAGTTGTTTAGTTTTAGTTTTCAGCTGATGAATAATGTTATCTTTAAGTGGTACATTTTGAAGTGCCCCTTGATTAGTGTGATGGATGTCTAGAGAATGTAACCAAATTACTTCTAAATTTTCTTTAAAGCCTGTAACTTGATACAGTCATTTTGCCAAGACTCCCACACTTTTAATTAAGGCTCTACTTGGAGCCCTTTCTTCAGAGGCTCTTCTGTGAGCTTTTTTTCAACTTAACATCACCTTTCTGAATCTGTAGATGCCAGACTGGAAAAGGAATGACAATTATGGTAGATTAGCAGCCAACAGGCAGGAGATAAATCAGAGTGCATTTTCTTAGGAAGACTTTTCCAATTGATAGCACTGGCAATCACATTCACCATCTTCTGTAACAGAGAAAGTTAGGACCAGTGACTCTGCTGTATTAGTACTGTCATTTCACCAAACCCAAGAAGATATATAAGACATCTGGTACAGAAAAAGGTTCTCTGTCGTGCCTTTCTTCTGTTCATGCTGTCTGAAGCTTCTTTTTAAGCCGCTGATGCTGGTGAGTGCTTTCATGTTTGCTGCATTGGTATCCTTTCTAAAATGTTTACTTCTGACTTATGTGAGAGCTAAACTTAGACTGGAGACATAGAAACCCAGTACAGCACCTTGTTTATTTGGATTCATTTTCTGGGCACCTGGTGTTCGATTTCTGTCCTTTTGCTCGCAGCGCAGACGGTGTTGCTGAGGCCAGTGCCCAGCCTGAGCTGGACTGTTCACCTCTTCATCTGGGAAGGGAATGGGGCAGGGATCTGGCTGAGCTCCTCCTCACAGGATGGGTCGTGACTTTCTGTGATGAAACCTTACGGAGCAGTGCAAGAAATGTGCCTAGAAGAGTGAAAGACAAGAATCAGTGTTGTTGTGGAAGGCAGAGGGGAGAGCTGCCCTGCCAAATTAGGTGTTATGACATTGGTCAGGCTGTGGCAGATGGGGCACAGGGCTCTGGGGCTTGTTCAACAGGAAGAAATTGAAAAAGTTTAGTAGGTTTCCCTTACTAAAACAGGCCAGAAGAGGATATTATATATACTCTTGAAAATCATGTATTTCTTCTGCACCAAATGTTCTTAATTTTGCGTCCATTTGGAGCCTGAAATTAAATTTAATCCATGTTCCACTTGTTAAAAGCAAAACAATGACCTTGGCGCCTGTAATTGGCACCACAGCTGTTTATAGTAAGAGTTGACTTCACAGTCCTTGGCATAGGAGGAGACATCAGCAATGTCTCCATTCCCACTTCCCTTCATTAATGGAGGGAGAGCAAAGGGAGAATTCTCTCTTGGAAGGCACGCCTTGATAATTTGATGGGGTGTTTCTGCTGATCTGAGGCATTCAGTGCTAGCTGCTTAAAAAGCTTAATTTAGTGTTTTCAAGAAACAATTTTACTACTCTATATCTGCTTTTGCAGCATGTACATATTTTTGAACACAAACCTCACACAGACATAGCCCCCAGTGTAAGGTATGGATGCTGTAAATAGCTTGTGCACAGGGGAGAAGGGTGTCCCCAAGATTCCTCTGAAAAGAAGCCCAGTTCATATAACAACTTTTTTTAGAAGGGAACTGTCTTTCCAATCAGCTGGGGGTGGGTTGCTGCCCAGTGTGAAAAGCTTTTTTTCTGATCTATATTCATATCCAAAATACAGGCATTTGGAGACTATTGTATTTATTATAACCAGGTTTTAGGAATGCGCTTAATACGCAAAACATATTCTTGTATTCTGTCCAGTGGATTTTACATGCTGTCCATGACCATTTTTTCTACTCTGCTGTTTCAACAGGCTCGGACAGATGCCCAGGTAGGGTGGGTCAGATTAATGCAGATGATAAGAAAAATAACTCAGTTGTCCAATATAGTTTGTTCAGCAAAAGGTTTTGTGTATGAGGTGAAGGAAGGAGGACCCTTGAGATTAGTGAGTGGAGGGAGGGAGTGTTCTTTTGCAGAGTTATTTTTTTACTTTACGTGAAGATATTGAGGAAGAAAGTAAAACAAAACAACTTTGTACTTGTCAGGAGATTAGCATATTTCTGTAGATTTAAGTTCCTGAGTGCAGCAGGTGGCTTGTTTTTATAGCTCAGGAAGGACTCACTGACACATTGTGATCTCACAGAGGTTAAAATATTTAATTCAAAATAATCCTAATAAAAATACCAATGTACAAATGATCCCTCTTAGGTGTTCTTCCTCCTTGGTCCCTCTGTAATATGATCTCCTGTGAAAACCAATCATCCTTCTGTTTCTCCTTGCCATTTTGTCTGGGGCTCTTGTTGACTGCTGCCCTGATAATTGTGATGCTGACTGCGAGCTGTGACAGGTCGTGTGCAGAAGAGCAGTGCCTGTTCCTGTGCTGAATCTTTCTTCCTAGAGTTAGCTGTCATTCCAATAAACTGTGCTGCTATCTTTTTTTTTTTTTTTGATTGAGTTTGGTCTAGTTTTAAGATACATCATTTGGAAAGGAAAAAGCCCTGAGGATTTTATTTGTAAAAGAGGTAAATATTTATCAATGTCATAAAGTATTGTACTAGTTCCAGTGCTAACCCCTGGTGCTGCTGGCAAACTGAACAAAATGCTGGCTTAAAAGCTATTTTTCATGCTTACTATTGAGGATTGCCACTGGGTTTTTTTTTATGTTGTTCATATTATGGTGGGAGTCAGCTAATGAAAATCCTTATGCTGCCTGAAGATCTGTTTCCTATGTGGCTGTATGCAGACTCCTGCCTTCGTCAGAATGCCCAATTTAAGCAAAATCCACAGGGCAGATCTCAGTTCTATTCTGTGAAAGTTGGATTTTTACTAGAATTTACTGCCTTGAACCCATTGTGCTTCAAACATTTGTAAAGAATGACAAGTTTGTGTACAGTCAACTCCTGTGCAAATGCCATGGTAATAACTGAAGGTGCTGTGCCTGGTGGAAAAAAAAAATTCCAGTGCTATGGGAAACACAGAAGGGGCAGCAGTGCAAGGAGGCAGGAAAGGACAAAGATGCTGGTTATCTGGGGGATTTTCTTTTGTGACTCATTTTCTAGCAGTGTGATGAGTGTGAAAGTTGTGCCTAGTGTGAATGGGAAGATGAAGCTGTTTTTCTGCTCGGCTCAGAGACCTATAATAATTATTTTAATGTTTACACTGGCTCTCCTTCTTATAAGCAGGGCCGTTGCTGAGTTGCCAGATGTCTTGCTGTGTGAGATGGCAGATTAATACTGAGCTCACTGGAGCAGGTTCTTCAGTTTTGTGCAGCTTGTTTTCCATGTTAGAGCAAAAAGATCTCTTTGTACTCTTTGTTCTCCTTTGGGATTAGATTTTGTAAGTGGAGAGGCTGGAAGAGGATCTCCTTGGGCCTTGTCAGGGATGCTTTTGATCATGTTCCAGTGGAGATGTCCATGTCAGGTTATGAAGCCACATCCTGCAGCTCTGTGTCTCTCTTGTTCTGGCTTGGGGTCAGAGGGTCCAGTTTCACCTGGGATGATCTAGTAGGGGTCAGTGATGTCTGTACCAGCAATACCCCACCAGACTGGACAGAGACCTTCTGAGAGTGGCTGTGTCAAAATACAGAGAGCAGGTGGAAGGGAAATGCTGTTTGTTTTAGCAAGGTAGTAGGTCAGAAATAAAGAATAGAAAGAGTGCAAATTCCTCTGCTTAATTGTATTATGTTAACACTGCCTTATGTTCTTTTAGTGTAGAAGAATTCTATCTATAATACAGAGTCAATCCTTTGTTCATTTTTAAATCCTGTGGTTTTAGGAAACATACCAATCTTAATGTGCCAGTTCTAGTAATTAATTCTAAGAATCGGCAACAATCTAATGTTCTTAGCTTTTGTTCTCAGCATGTTACTCTGCCCAGGTTATGCTGGCCAGCTTTCATTCCCACAGTGTGCTGACTCTTGAGAAGCAGTAAGTGCTTAGATCTTCCTTTTTCATTGCTTCCAAAATCCAATTAAACCTTTCTTTCCTGGAATATTTTCTTGATTCCTCTGTAACTCTGACTCTTTGCCTGGATAAGCCCCAGCTCAGACTCACCCCCCTTCATGTTCCCTGGGCAGATAGCTCTAATGTAGGGCAAAAGTTCTGGCCTGCCTTGTCTTTGAGGATCATTTCACCTGCTGACGAGTCTTTGCTCCTGCCTGCCTGAACTGCTTGTCCCGTGGCTGGCAACCACAGGAAAACCTTGCCTGCATTCCCAGCTGCTCTCTCCTGTCTACAAACCTAGGCAAGCACCATGCCCAGGCTCCAACTGTTTACCTCGTATCACCTTTCTGGGCTCACCTCCCATCTGCTGGGAATCTGTTACGTGAGTCAGGGAGCACTAACCTTGACAAATGGCAGACTCCAAAGTTACTGCTTTTGCAGATTGAATCGGCCGTGGCTGTATGTGTGTCACTTCAAATGAGATGCAGATGTTGTAAGGTGGTTTTTGTTTGTTTGTATTAAATGATGGCATTCATCTGTGTATCTAACTTCTAATCTCAAAGTTGCTGAGTTTAGAAATGAGGCTAACATCTAAGTTTATGTATGAAGGTTTGGAACTGCAGGGTTTCAGATAAGTTGTCTTTGTCCCTCGCTGGTTGATTATTTATGCAGGGCACCAAGCTTGCACGCTACTTGAGACTAAAAGGTGTATTCCAGGTCACACAACTGAGAATAAGTGCTTGTTCTACAGTTTCTGTGAGGAGAGAACTGGCTAAATAGAGGCAGGGTGTGAATTCTGCCTCACTTTGTTCTTGTTTTGAAAAACAAAGAGAGCTAAGAACCCAGAAATATTGGGGAGTGAACCTGAATGTTGTTATGGCTGCTTCCAGTAGGTGACTTTTGTTTTCTATCATTTTACAGGAGAAGCAGAGATAGGTGCTGGTGTTTACTTCTAATGTTTTTGCTGTTTTTTCCTTCTAGGTCCTGTCTGCAGTATATGTGTATCATCTTTTGGAGCAAGACCAGTAGCTATCTTCAGTGGCTTTATGGTGGCTGGGGGCCTCATGATGAGCAGTTTTGCACCTAACATATACTTCCTATATGTTTCATATGGGATAGTTGTTGGTAAGAAACACCTTCCCTTCATTTTGAGACTTAGTCTTCGTTATTTTGAGTGTTGGTTTATGAATATGAAATGGGAAACTGATTCACAGAGGCAGTGGTAGTCTGGGACTTGGTTTATCAAGGAATACTTTACTTTTGGGCAGAGGGGGATGCTGCATGGGCAGGCTGTTACCATTTATGTTGAAAACAACATAAATGTTCATGAGGGTTTGAAAACAGTTTGTCCTCTGTTGACATAATTGTTAGAGATGGAGAAGCTGAGGTTTTACCTAAGGGCTGGAATCGAGCAAATCTGCTGGCATGAAATGCCAATCTTAAAGGAATAATATCTCTTCTGGAATTTTGTCACATAATCATTCTAATTTGATAAATTAGGGATCATTAGGGAGCAATGCTGTTCTCCACAGAACTGGACTGAACACAAAATGCTGTGCTGGAGGCATGGAAGCGCTGCTCTCCTGGCAGGTGCTGACCTGCCCTCTGTGTGCCGTGGGTGGCTTATCAAATTAACTGTGTCAGGAATTTGGGCACCTCTCAGGCCAGCGGGGCCCGGCGTCGTGCTGGCCGGGCACGGGGCCACGGCCAGGCAGCTCTGCCCAGCTCTGGGGCCAGCCCTGGGCTCAGAGCCCTGTAGCCCTTCCACGGAGCACAGAGCTCGGCTGGGAGCTCCTCAAACCAGCCTGCTCCACCCAGGCTCAGCAGCAGGGACGGCCGGGGAAGGGAGGTGGCACAGTGCTGAGCCAGGGTTAAAGGGTACCTCAGCACTCAGGGTGGCATCACCTGGGGGATTTGTTTCCTAGAGGATATAGCATTTTTTATATCTAATTATTTTTTTCCAGGTCTTGGATGCGGCCTTTTGTATACTGCAACAGTTACCATCACGTGCCAGTATTTTGACAAACGCAGAGGCCTTGCACTCGGTCTGATTTCAACAGGTAGGACTTTTTGTTGTCATTCTCTCCAGCTTTTCAGCTCTGATACAGCCACCGTTACCCTGGCAATAAAAAGCAGAAGATTATGTTTTTCTCAGTAACTTAAAGTTACTACTTTCTTAAATCAAAATATCAGTAGCAATGTAGGGGAAAACTGAGGCTTGAGATAAAAGAGTAACTACACTTGCAGGTTTATGCTGTGGGCCATCAATATAGATGAGGAAAGGATATTCACTGAAAACAGACTCATGTAGCTTGGGCTGCATGCCATGGATAACGAGGGGAAACATTCCATAGAGAACTCTTTTTCCTCTTTGTTCTTACCCTGGATCAGAGGTGAGAAAGAGATTGGAGATGCAGGATATAAATGCTGCATCACCACTACCTCACATTAGCTGTACCTCTGCCCTTTTCAATGGCCCGAGTAGAACGGTTACAGATGGCTCTGGTGCCATGCCTCACTTTCTGTGTGCCGTGGAGCGTCTGCTCTGACCTCTTTTCTCGAGTAGCTGTCAGTGAGGAGACACAGGATCAGTACAGTCAGTGGTGTGAGATACTAACACCACATCCACACAAGCTGGGTGAACAGGAGCTTCTGCAGAAATGTTTCTTGGGATCATTTACAGCGGCTTTGTTTTGCATTCCAGGTCGGTTGCCTTAAAGCCTTATCTTATTGTGCCCTGGTTAATTTTAGTACCTGGAAGGCAAAACAAGCATGGATTTTGTAATTGATTTTTCCTCTGTTTAGCACCAGACAGTCTTCAGCAAATAATTTTAAAGTTTGTCATATAAATTGATTTGAAAACCAATGTTCTGTGTTTGTGAGAGGACACCCACTATTTAAAATGGATATGTGCTCACTTCAACCAAGAGCCTTTTCTTTAAATTACTGGGGTTGCATTAAATGCTTGTGCTCCTAGTAATTTCTCACTCTTCAGTGTTTTCTTCTGAATGGCCACATTTCTCAAGTGCATGTTTAGTCCTGTAGAGCTTCAGAAATGCCTTTGGAGTAAAAAGCATACTGCTTAAACACCAGGCAGTCAAGGGCTGTTTCTAGGAGGGGTCTTGGTGAACTGCTGGCCTCTTTCTGCCTGGGAGGAGGAACGTGGCAGCAAAGAGAAGAAAAGGGAAAATGTTGGAGTGGGAAATTCTGACTGTGCTAACTCAAAATGGTGCTTAGAAGGATACATGTATACGAGTGCAGGGCTGAAGGCTGGCTTATTAGTTCTTTGATGTTTTTAATCAGATATAGTATTGATCCTACCTGTTTGTGAAGCGTCTGCTAGTGTTATTTGTCACAAAGTGTTCAGATATTTTGAGACATTTTTTATGTTGTGACTACTTAACAAAGAAACTGTAACTTCAGGAGGGATGATAGCTTACTGATTCATTAAACTTGGGAGAGAGGAGCACAAATGAATTACTATTCCTATGGCAGTGTATTCATAGCTGCTGAATAGTGGAATTTTGCTAGAGTTGAAGAATGGTCTTGGTTCTTCAGTTTAAACCAAACTTATTTTTCTTTTATAGGCTCAAGTGTTGGACTCTTTATATATGCAGCACTGCAGAGAGAGCTTATTGAGCTGTATGGACTGGATGGGTGTCTGCTAATAGTTGGTGCCCTGTCTCTAAATATATTAGCATGTGGCAGCCTAATGAGACCTTTGGAATCGTCCAGTTCTCCTCCACCAGAGAAAATGTTTGTGGACAAAGTCCCAGATCAATATTTTGTTTACCACGAAAAGGAAAAGACCGTGGAAGAAAACATTAGCATCCTTGAAAAGGGCTATATTGATGAAAAATCTGTGAACAATGTGCCTGATTGCAAACAGGATAGCATTTTGAATAAGAGTGCATTGAGTTCAATAAATGTAAATGAGAAAGACACTTACAAAAAGAAAGTTGTAGAACAGACAAACTTCTGCAAGCAACTCGCCAAGAGGAAGTGGCAGCTCTATTTGACCTACTGGAAGGAAACCATGGTTCTTTTCAAGAACAAAGTATTTTCAGCTCTCTTTGTTGCCATCTTGCTCTTTGATATTGGTGGATTTCCTCCTTCTCTGCTCATGGAAGATGTAGCAAGAAGTGCAAATATTAGTGAAGATGACTATTACATGCCCCTTATTTCCATTATTGGCATTATGACGACTGTTGGCAAACTTATTTTAGGAATCCTGGCAGATTTCAAGTGGGTTAACACTTTATATCTCTATGTAACTACCTTATTAATGACAGGAGTGGCCTTGTTTGCAATTCCATTTGCCAAAAGTTACCTTACATTAGCGATGCTTTCTGGGATTTTGGGTTTTCTGACTGGGAACTGGTCAATTTTTCCGTATGTAACAACAAAGACTGTGGGGATTGAGAAACTGACTCATGCCTACGGGATATTGATGTTCTTCGCTGGACTTGGGAACAGCCTCGGGCCACCAATTGTAGGTAAGGTGTAGGTATAAACTGAACATGAGCTTGTCACACCCAGACACAATGCTTTTGCAAGTTTAATAGTTAGGGAAAGATGAAATCAAAACCTGTAACAAAAAATAAAAGCTTTTGTTTTTTGGCCGATTGTGTTTGTAATTTGTCTTTGAGGGAAAACACATTCCATGTCGGACAGGTCAAACAGCATTTTAGGTTCGGCCTATTTTATTTTACTTTATTTTGCTATTTGGGTGTTTTTTAATTGCTGTTCTCTATGTTACCAGTGCTGTGTCACGTTTCACTGATGGGTTTCTCTTTTATCCCACCCTCAGGCTGGTTTTACGACTGGACGCAGGAGTACAACACTGCTTTCTACTTCAGTGGCTTTTGTGTCCTGCTGGGGGGATTTCTCCTGCTGTTGGCAGCGCTGCCCTGCTGGAATGCCTGCACCAATCAGAGCTCCAAGCTGCCTCCAAATACTTACTCCTACAAAGTTGCATCTAACGCTTAGGTGACAACTGGAAAACACTTTGCGCCTTTTTATATTATATAGCAAAGTATTTTAGTATTTTCCACTTATTTATGAAGCCCACAAATCCTCTTTCCACTAGAAAAATTCCATTGTTGCTTGTTGTTCAGTTTCTTCTACTATTTCTTTTTTTTAATATCATTTTTAAAAACAGTCTTATTTTGTGTACTATGCACCGTGTTTTCAGCCTTTGTCTACTGTAATTTCCTTTCCCCTGTAAAGGGGATGTTCTGCTGTATTATCAGCTGTACTTTTTTTAAGGGGGGTTGGTATGGAGGGGTGAAAACTTTGAGGCAAAAATGGAGGCCTGTTCTTTATAAGAGAAGGCTGGTATTTCTGCCTCCTTCCATAGGTCTCCAAGTTGCACAATTAGGCTTTACAAAACAAGAGTTTGCCTTATTAAAATGTAATACTGTGGCAAGGTGCTTTTAACTTCATGCTTAGATTAACTTTTTTGTCTTTTTAAAGTTTCTTCAATTTATGATTAAGTGCCAATTGTGGGAGGGAGAAGAGGGGAAACAAAATCAACCTCGTGTTGCATAACTGAAGTGAACATTATGATGAAAGTAAAGATTCTTATTACCACTGCGACTAAGAACCATGTTTATAAATACTGCACATTTTGTGAAGCCTGTTTATAAAACTGTTGAACCAAAACCTTTTAAAACCAAGGAATAAATGTGATTGTTGAAACCGTGAAAGGAAATACTGACTTGGTTATGAAGTTCATAATCTTTTTATCAAGGTTGGAGACATGCTCACTGAAGCTCAGAGGTGAGTGTTGCTAAGCAGGGCACCCAAATTCTGGTGGTCCTGGGGGCCTCTCTTGTTGCACAACCACAGTTCAGTGGATTGAAGCTGCTGCAGAAAGCTTAATAGTAGGGCTTTTAACAAGGTAGACCTGATTAAAAAGGGGAAATGGTGACAGCAATGTCATCTCTGCTGTCCTTTTTTGAAATGGATATAGCAAGGAGAAAAAGCAGTAACAGAGGGCAAGAAAAAGCATGGGGGAGGGCTAGCAGAAGAAGTTCAGAGAAAGCTGATGGGGAAAGAGTTGCAACACTTGAGCACCAAACAAGGCAGTGAGAGAGAGCCCTTGAAACCTCTTGTCTCTCTAGCTGCAGGCTACCCCTGCGTGCGTGCTGGGTTTTGCTGGCGTGGCTGGGGAACACCGTGTGATGATGAAGCCTTTCCTGAGCCAGGCAGGTGCTCCAGCAAAGGCAGGGTGACTCAGCTGCCTCTGCCCTGCCCTGTGTGCCCTGTGCAATGGCTTTTGCTTACAGAGCTGCTCTGGTGCCAAGGCTGTGTCTGCGTAGAGTGACTGATCTATCCATGGGTGGCACGTCCTGTGTGCTTTGGCTTCTCGCTGTAGGTCTGACGTTTTGTGGAGAATGTTGCAAGGTGAGGTGGAAGCTCTGAGCCCTGAGTTACAGCCTGCAAGTGCCTCAGTAGCTCTCAGCAGTGCTGTGGGCTTCAAGTGTGTGATATGATTCTGGCTCATGAATAATTCCCAAGGTAAAAGCCAGGCATGTAAGGAGCAGGCTGTGCTGTCCAAGTGCTGTGCACAGAGTTACTGTGTTTGCACACCTCATTAAGCAAAAGGGATGCAACATCTGAGTGGGGCAGACCTATGTGTGGGTAATGTTCCCTCCTCTGGTCCAAGGCAGGAAAATCCAGCTTGGCTTCAAACAGTTTTTGCTGTTGTTTGTATTAAAACATGACAAAGATGCAGTTAGTATGTCTCTTTATTTTTTTTTTTCATCCATTTGTCAGCTGAGTGTAACTACTGTGTGGGTTTTCTTCCTGGTTTGCTTATTCAATGCCTGTAGAAAGAATATTGAGTATTCTGGATAGCCATAAATGCAACTCCAGTCCTAAACTGGAGTCCTGGGTATCAGATTTGGATATGCACCCATTTTATGTGCTCTTACAGCAGCCGTAGTCATATTTCACCACATGTATATAAAAGTAATACCATGTTTTACACATCTCAAAGAAACTGTGGGGATATCCTGGGTATGATCAAGGCACGTATGCCTTCAGATTCTTCTTTTAAAAGCTCACTTCCTGCCAACAATACATTCTGAGCTCTTTAAATATGAAACTGATGTTGAATTAGTGGTTGTTCTGAAAAAATGCAGCTGGAATTAATGCAAATGATTAGGTGGTATGTAGCACACTCTTGCAATGGAAATGGAGTCTATTATTAGGCAGTCTGATATGTGTGGAAATATGACTAGTGATCTGTAACAGTTTCCTGATGTAACCCTACCCAGCAGTGAGGAAAGAGCCCTGACTGTTATTTTATTTGCCACTTCAAGCAATATGTGCTAGGACTCCTTGCCCCAGACAGCTGAGCACTGTGATGTTATTTATCTTGTCTTTAACTGGTAAACAAGACCCAAGATTTTAATGTTTTGATTTTACTTTTCTAGTTTCGCAGGGCTCCTTTCCAAGAAGATATTTCCAGAGATGCTGGAACTTACATTTTATCTGAGAGCCTTTCCTTCTGTCTTCATGCTTCATTCAAATTACAAACCCATAGGTTCAAATGTGTTTTAAAAGGTGGCAGGACAGGTACAATATGATAATCTGTGCCTTATTTGCTTGAAAAGTAGGTCATCAGCATTCACAGAGTGGTGTAGGGGTAGGTAAGCAGCTCTGCCATGTAGAATTCTGGATTGTCTTGAGTTTTATAGTCCCTGACAAACAGATCTGGAACAGATGAAATGAGATGCTTAAGTAATTACTCTTTATTGTACAAGATAAAGCTATTGTTTATTACATAAATTATTCAGTTACTGTGGAGTCAGTCATGAATAGAACATTTATCTTCTTCTTTGCAGATCCTATGAAAGTTTATCATAGTTGCCGAAACACAAGACAAATGAAACTGTGAAATATTATTAGATTTAAAGTGTACTCTGTGCCTTGCTGAATTGATGGGCTTTATCATTAGCTGCAGAAAGAGATTACATTCCTTTGGTGGCTGTTAATTTTTCTACGTCATGCTGATCCTGGGTTCCTGCATCCAGCACTGACATTGAACAATGTGCTGAGTAAGAGCTATAAAAATTGATGGAGATGTTTGCATAGCATTAAACTGACATGGAGGTATTTTTTTATTGGAGAGATATTTTATTTCAGGTCATTCAGGAGGGCCTTTCACATACACATATGGTGAATATGTTTGGCTAAGCATGATACCAGACAGATTAAAAATGGCAAAATTAGAAATTATACAGAAATCCGGTTGAACAGGACAGAGGAAGTAGAAAAAGTTGATTTCCTATGAAACAGAATTTCTCAAACTCAGAGGACTCATTTCAGTGATGCTTTGCTGCAGATTCAATGAAGTTGAAGAGTGAAGTTAAAGACATCTCAGTCTTCATACAAGAAAAAGTATTTTTTTTTGGATGAAGGTATTTGTTCTTTTAAATGTTGGCTTTTAAGCAATCAAAACGGTTCAGAGGTGATACACACATGCTCAACTTGAACTGCTCTGTATCATGCAATGACTTTGTTGCAGGAACTAAATCAGAGAATGATTTTAGTTGAAAGGGACCTTTCAAGATCCTCTAGTTTAATCTCTCTGCCATACATAGTGATTGCAAGTTTCTCAGAGTAGCTGCTGTTCCTGGTTTGTTGTCACTTCCATGGTTCTGTGGGGAAGGCTTGACTCCTTTCTTGTATGTCCTCACATTTTCTGCAACAGCATCTTATGTTAATTTTCTTTAGAGTGTCCATAGCTTCTTACAACAGCTCTGTTGGTCAGCTTTGACCATCTGTGTTCAAACGTGTGGAGTACTTTCTTGCTTGGGCTTTTTTCATTAGTGTTAAATAATCACACCAGTCCAAGCAGTCTTTATTAGCCCTGGTGCCATTTTGTGTTTTCCAGGCCATAGTTTTAAGTTGTGTTTTCTGCCAGTCAAAGTGCTTGCTTAAAGCATCCAACTGCATTGTTGTGGGTGCGTTGCTGTAAATGCACTCACAGAACCTCTGAAAATGCTTTTTGCTTTTATTTCCCCCAAGACCAGCTGGATGTTTCTGTGTGTGAGCTCAGGTGTAACTGCTGGCACAATGTGCTGCATGGCTGGCAAGGAGCTCAGGGCAATTCCTGTGTGAGCTGCTTTGCAGTCATGGCCCTGTGCAGTGTGACTGCAGCAAATGCTCTTCTCCTCTGCCTTTGGCTCCAGCCTTAACCTTACCTGGTCACAGTTAAACCTGCAAACTCAATTTCACTTAATCCAAATTAATGTCTTTTCCTCCCTTGTTTCTCTCGTTGCAGGCTGCAAAATTATCTGCCTAACCTCTTTTCTCCTTTCCCGTGTCACGCAGAGCTCATGTTGAAAAGTAAACACATTTTCAGTGATTAACAGCAGAGACCAGATGCAGCTGAGTAACAAGATGAATACCTACACCCCATTTTGTAAATGGCCAATGCTCTGACCAACTCTGCATTTACAGATTGTATCTAAATTGCGTGGGGTTTTGTGGCTATAACTTTAAATTTTGATATGTGACAGGCATATCAGGTTGGATTAGGCCATGCTGTCTTTCATTGGAAGCAAATTACTTTGCTTTTTAATTAAAATGTCCCTGAATTGGAGTGGCTGTGTCCCTGCTTTGCATTATTTGGGGGACCATCCTCCCAAACTAGGATAACTGAAATCACCTGGCATGTCTTTCTCAGATTCTGTGAATTACAATAAATGCTTTGTATGAGGTTGTGCAAAAGATCAGAAAAAATGCTTAATTAAATAACATTTGCTTCAAGTTAAACAGAGTCATGTGGAGGTACTGTGAAAAAGTAGGGAACAAAAAAATGTATTTGTGAGACTAGCTTGACAATCTGGTTCCTCCCTGGTGTATCCATGATATGAAACTATTAGGGAGTCACTCTTCTGGTTGTATGAATTTTAGCTACCAAAAAGATTCCTGGGAGAGAAAGATGGGAAGAAGGAATTTCCACTGAGCAGACCATTACCTTGTTGCTTTAGAACCAGGAGACCTGAATTTTTATATGACAGACTGAATAACTCCAAATAGGGTTTCATCATAGCTGAAACTGGAAAGCTTGATGGAGATGCTGCTGCCATCTCAGCTCCTCTGGGGGGAAGGTCTGCATTTTGAGATTAGTTTTTTGAGTTTTCTCCAATTTTGTTCAAGAAGTAGTATCACAAGACTGTATAAAGCAGAGCTTATTGAACATAATAGGAGCAACTCTTTTGAGATGAACCAGTAAGGAGTGGTTCTATGTCGTTGGAGAAATACAGAGGAAAAACTGCTTCTGCCTGACTTTTGCATGGGCTAGGGCAGTGTCCATGGTGCAAGAGGATGCTGAAGCCTCTTCTTAGTGCACTCCTCCTTTTACTTTTCTTTTTCTTTTATCTCCACTTCAGGTGCTGTGCAAGCAAGAGCCGGAGAGGAGGCAAGGACTAATCCTGTCTCACTTCTTTACAGCTCTTCAAAGAGGGAATTTTGTGTTGAAAGTGTATTATTTATGAAAAATAGTAGCATATGGTGCCAGAGATAATTGCTTCGGCAAGAGATTAATACCCCATGAGCTGTCTGGAGCTGAAGCTGGAAGCTGAGTTTCCCTTCAGCTGTGGGAAGCTGTCAGAAACCAGCAGCAGTTTGTGGATGGAGCCTCATGGGAGGTCTGTCTTCCTGGGAGGATGATTTGGGATGCAAAAACTGG